TTACGTTATCGATAATGTCATCGATAATATCATAGTAAGCATGTGGTTCAACATAATATTTTAATTTTTGAGAAAATTTTGATAGAGCAAGATATTGCTCAAACGGGACTCGAAGACTACGACTAGCATATGAAAATACGTAGAGTATGAGAGAAAATATTCGTTAGTGTAAAGTTAACAACATTTTTCTATTTTTAATCATAACGGATGACAAAATGGTGTTTAAAAGTGAAAGAATAGGTATGCACCAGTATCAGTATACTGACAATACTGATACTGACGAATATTGACGTCGAAAATAATTTTTCGAAAAATTGACAAAATCTATAGTATCCAGTTTCATTAGAAAATTTCGCCAATTTTAAATGACCAATCCAATTGCCAAAAATACCGAAATAGTTGAATCACATGCTTACTATGATATTATCGATGACATTATCGATAACGTAATTCGTTTTGTTGAATCAATGGATTACTAGTAATTAGTTTTACTACTCGTGTGCAAAAACTCGTCTCAAAAGAGATAGTCTATCTCTTTTGAGACGTAGCCAACTGTAGTTTTTAACTTGGATGGATCCTGAATCAGTAATATTTATGAAAAAAAAAGCTTTTAAACAGATATTAATATAGACATATGTTTCTAAACCTTTTTAAAATAAAGAGACAAATAATGACTTTCAAGTCGGTAAACTTAAAAGTAAATCTCATAGACTGGATGGTCAACTCGACTTTTGATTTATGATCGTCTACCGTATGAGCTTATCAACAAACTTGAATCGGCGTGTACGAATGCCTAAGTAATTATGATAAACATGACAAAATATTAGGGTTCATTGAAGGTTAACACATTTTACAGAAGAACAGATAGGTTGGTTTTTGCATTGTGCGAGATTTTACACAAGTAAGTACTGCTAAGAAATGTTAAACAATCGAATATATTGTATGTTTTATATTTAGGTATTCGATGCCTATGCACAATCTGAAGAGGGTTTAATTAGTGCACTGATAAAGAGATTCAATGAAGCAAAGTTGACAGAGGATGGTACGTCGAAATAGCTTTGGTTTACAAGCGTGTTTTTTGTCACTAAACAGTACCAGTAACGATTCTAAGTCGTCTGAAATTTTTTGAAATTCATCTGTCTGATCCATACAATACTGCTGATAATCGGAAACCAAAAGTGGAAATGGGTACTCTCGAATTATTTTAGTTTTAATTCACGATGTTGGGACAATATG